TCAGTGTTCTGTGGCCAGTGGTGCCAAAAATACAGACATTCTTTATCAGAATCAGAATGCTACTTTATTAAACTTTGAGGAAATGATGTAGCTTCATTTAAGTAGAAGATAACTGTGTTTGAAATACTCAACTAAAAGTTGAAGTGCTAATGCAGTGTCTTTACTCAAGTAAATGTTAAAAAGTACAGGCTATGAAATGTATTCTTAGTAAGAAACTAAAAAGTACTCATTGAAGTACAAGTCTATACCTACATTATAGAGGGTTAGGATTAGACTCTGCAGTTGGGGAATCCCTACGACTAATCGTGGAGAAAAGAATCACAACTCACAATCATTTCTAATGCGAGCTCCAGTACAGGTTGTGAACTGCTGCTCTTTGTGGATTACACAGTGAAATTCAGCAGTAAGCAGATGTTTCAGAGCTGCTTTGCTGATTTCCAGCCTCTAAACGCAGTGGCCCCAACTTACAGACAACGGCATGGTTCCAGCTAATTTAACCGGTTAGTATAAACACTAAGATCTTGGTTTTTGGAAAAAGAACACAGACTAATGTTAATACAATCTGTCAATGTCTACAAAGTCATTGATTTTAACATATTTCAGCACTGTGAGTGTTGTGTTTCTATTCATTCCACTCCCTAAAAACATTGGTCACCCAGATACACGATTGTGTTTTTGTTGGTCAGCAACAAGGATGTCAAATCTAGTTTTGATGTTTGGACATTCTCCACCCTTAAGGCATCTGTCAAAAGCTTAAGGTTTGTGGATGAAACCTGTTTCTGTTTTTGAATGGGAATGATCATGGAGGCAGTATGCAGCAAACTAATGGTATATTTACAAATCCTGAGAACATAAAAATAATAGGATACAACTTAATTGCTTCAAACCATGTTAATTACTTTAATTCTTACGTGCTAAGTGATAGCGTGGCACTCCAGCTTTGGAAACGTTCTTCTTGCCAAAGCTTATTTTATTCCTTATTCTGCCATGAACTCTAATTTCTTGCCTTCCACTCACACTGCCACACTGAAACTGCGAGTCTGAGAGACTCCGATGTTAGGCTCCAATATTATTATTCCTGAAATCTGGGAGAATGATGCACTAATAAACATCATATGTCGTGTCTTTTGTTTCCTTTTTGTGATAAAATGTCCAGTATTTATCGATTTTTAGTATAGTTTCCTGGCCTGGTTGTTATTTTAATTTATTTTTTTTAAATACTAAGCCATGCTGGGTAAACTCTGTATTTACCGCTGTAATCTCCTGTCACTCAGGAACAGCTGTTCTTTCCTTTGGATAGCTGCATTACAGGCCAGGACACATTTCTCCTCTTTTTGGTTGTGAATTAACCTTAATAACATACTGAAGGTTACTGATTTGTATTTTTATGAAACTTTGAAGTTGTCCTTGTAAATATTCTATCAAGTGGATTTTGTGTTATGTCAATTTCCTTGTTTGCTTGGTTGCTTCGATGTTGTCCGAGTTTTGATTTTTCTCAATTTTGTAATAGTATGTTTTCGTAGCC